CCGTTCTGTTTCGGGGCTGGATGGCTGATTGAAGAACTGATCGCAGAATTCTCTATCCGCCAGTCTTCTGAAATACGAACTCGGCGCAGAACGGTACCGTGTTAAGCCAGAATTCATCTGCGGCTGGAGATGTTGCTGCTGAAAATCTGCCTCCATCGGTCCTCCTTTCTCCAGCTCTGCTCCAAGCAGACTAACAATAACAGACCTTAATCAAACAATACGAACCTCTCGAAGATAAACTTCTTCTTCACTCCTTCCTTAATCACGCCAAATTAAACGTCGAACAGCACAAATGCAATCAATCCGCAGAGAGCTCTGCTTCTTTCAACACAAAATCAGCTCCACAAACCACCGAATTCCCTCAGTAACAGAGCGCACAGAGACCAGAACTTCAAGCGGACCACCTGATCCAAAAACAACGAACAACAGACCTAAATTAAACACAAATCCAATCAAGAACACATGACCGTGAAAAACAAAAGCAGGAAGCAGAACACAGCATAAATTCAGCCTCATTCACGTGGAAATCATCCCCATGCTCTCTCCACAAACTACAACAAAAACTCCCTCCCTTCGTCAACGGTAAGCAAAACACCAACTATCAAATCAAACTCACAGCAGCACCAAAAATTTCTGTGGTCGAGCATAAATCACTTTAAAATAGAAAGAAAAAAGAAGAAGATAAACCTCCAAAAGAAACAAAAAGAATCGCAATTCAAGTAAAAAAAAGCAACCATGACAAGATACCAAAATCTCTTTATTTCTCTGTCTGTACTATCCAGGAACCAAAAATCGTCTCCCTCAACAACTGCTGCCGGAAAAGTATTCCGCAGCTCCGGTACGGCGGAGGCGCGTAGAGAGAGAAAATCGTAAAGGTAAAAGGAAAAATGAAATGGCGTTTGTTCAGTGAAATTAGGAAGAAAAGCCAATGGGAAGTGAACAGAGCGTCCCAGAATCTAGGCCCTCAGATTGTGTATGTTTGTGCAGTGGTGGAATGACGGAACTGCCCTCAAGTATTGGTGTTATTTATGGAAATGCACTGTTAGGAAAAGGAATGACTGGATTGGTTCCACGTCAGCTGGTTCGTGAGAGTGGGCCACGTGGGGCTCCATCAGTGGACCACAACATCGATTCTGTTTTCAGAAGCAAAAGCTTTGGCTTTGGATAAAAAGGTCAAATTTAATTACTCAACTCCCCCTTTTTTGGAACTAAATTAAGAATTTAATTCTTACAAAATTCCACATATATATTTATATAGATTTTTGCCTTTATCTGATAAATAATATTAAAAAATAATATATATATATATATATATATTTTAAAATTAGTATTATCTGAGTTTTTTTTTTTATATTCCTAATCTGTCTGGACATTCGCGGATATAAAAAAGGAAGGGGAAATTTTGTAAAAGACTTATGGATCGAATCTTTTTACGTAAAAGAGTATTTGGTTTCTTTCATCTTAATCTTTAAACTTACCTAGAAAAAAAGAATATTTTACTCTATAAATTTTTAAAAGATAAATTTTTTAATGATGAACTTTTAAATTTCAAATTTTAGTTTTTAAATTTTTAAAAAGTAATCATCTTGATTATTGGTATGATTCTACGTATCTTTGATTATTGGTATGATTCTACGTACCATCTAATATTTGTCCTCATATTCGCTTCAGCAAATTTATATATCCCAATACATGTCCACACCATAAATATACACATATTTCAAAGTCTAAAAAAATGTAGGGACTTGAATACAAATTTTAAAAATCTAGAAGCTAAAATGAAATAATTTGTTAGACTTTTATATAAAATTTATTAATAAGTTTTGAATTATATTCAATAGTTTATTCTCGATATAAGTTTTTGAATATATATATATAGGCTATATAAAATTTAAATATTGTTTTTACCTTCAAACTGTTATTTTTTAATATATGTAATTTATATTTTCACATCTAAATTTTTAAAAATTTTAATTTGTTCTCTAAACTTTTATCTACCTTCTATTTTATTATTTTATAGCATTTGAAATCTCAAAATTCAACCTCGCTCTTACCGAAATTCAAATTTATTTTTTATCTTTTAAGTAATGTGTAACACACACATATATAAAATAAGTGGATTACATCACACTTCTATTTAATTAGACATTTTTGTGTTAAGGCCTAAATATGGAATTTAATAAAAGTTAGAAAACTAAAGTTGAGACACCGCAACATTGAAAACTGCTTAAAATATTCAAATCTTGATATGTTTATTCAATAGGACTCAATTATTAATGAATCAAAAAAGAAAAAAAAGGACTCAATTATTATTAATAACACATATCAAATTATTAGTGTGTCAAATTTTTAACATATCTGCAAGATTTAATAAATCATTATATAATAAAGAATAATTCTTGGTGTTATCTCAAATGACGTTGAAAAATACGGTCCACCAATTTATTAATTTTGTGTTGATTAGTGACATAAAATAATGGATTTATATATGATTAAGTTTATATAATCATTTAATAAGGAATATATACACACACATCATATGGTATATTTTAATATCATGGAATTAAAAAATATTATTCGGGATCATAAACTTATAAATCTTTGGAGGAAAAAAATTGAAAAATAAGAGAGATAGTGGAAGAGATGAACTCAGAAAGTAGTGGAAGAGAGATAATCTTCAAAAAGGGGAAAAAATGATGTGTTACAAGAAAAGTGTAGTGAGAGAGAACTCTTTCATGTGGAGAGAGAGAGACTTTTGGACATCTATGTGAAAATGACATGGTTTTTTTTTCAGCTTTTCAATCCCTTTTATATGCTACTTTCCATCTAGTTACGGTTTTGAGTTTCTCCAAAACGATTTATCGTTGTGGTATTTCTACGAAATTTAAGAACTTCTATGGTTGTGTTGCGCGATTTTGGGTCGAAAGGTTGGTCGAGATTGATTGAATGTATGGTACACAATTAATAGTGTATGTTGTGGCAATGTGAAGTTAAAACGATATTATTGAAGAGTGAGAACGTGCAGAACCTAAAATTACTTAACGGGACAATTTGAGTTTGTACTAAAAAAAATCAAATTTTGAATTTATCAGGACAATATTCAATATATTAGAGAGGTACTTTTAGCTTCTAACATTCACCCTCCTACACGATATTAATGAAGAAAATATATGATGATTATCTAGGTATCTCGACTTGTTATAAGTGCATCTTTTAGGGTAGTTACCAAGAACAATACTTCTAAAACTGTTTTCTATTAGATTTAACTTTTAAGAAATATATCTTTTTCGTTTTATTTTTTTTAGATCATATATGTATTATTTTTTAATATTATATATCTAAATCAATGTCATAGTTGAACCGTAATAATATATACTTCATTCCTAAGAAAATAAAATATTAGATGTATTTACTATGTTTTATTCTGGTTAGAATTACTTCTAAAAGTTATTTTGTACATAAAAAAACTATATTTTAAAAAGGTTTTGAGAAATAGAAAACTACTTTTAAATTACACGACTTCCAATAATACACCGTTTGAGATCTCAAGTTTTATAAAAGAAAATTTCACATCCAAAGTATTTGGAAGAGAAAAAAAAAGGAAAAATATTGTTAGGCATGTTAACCTTGATAGTGCTATACAAATATTAATTAATATTCAGTGACATCAAATTAATTGATTGTGGTGTCTCAAAAAAAAAAAGATTGTGAGACTATTATATATATATCAATATTTCTGACCTAGCAATAAATATAAAGGGTCAATTATTTGGGTGTCAGACACTTGTCTTGAAAAAAAGAAAAGGTAAATGTTCGAGTCAACTTACGTACACCTTATCTAATTTCACGGGAGACACCCGCCTGATTCTATTACATTTAGTTACTACGAAAGAAAACTAGCTCATAAAGATATTAAATCTTAGGTAGGTGGCCATCCTGGCCCTTTGTACTGATAGACAAACTCGTAATCGTTACCAAATGAACGTTTCGAAAAGTACAAATATTAAAATTAACAAAAATTGAAAATATTGGACCAATATATTTCTTGATCATGACTTTTTTAGTCATGACCTTTCAATTAAAACACAAAAGCCCCATGCACATAGCAACTTCATCCATCACTATTTGACAAGCTACTAAACAATTATAATAAACGACAGTAATAATGGATCTCCCTTTTATAAAAGTCAGAAGTTTGATTCCCAGCTACTGAATCTTCCTCCTAATAATATAAGTTGCTTTATATTATTATTATTTAGTACGTCAAATAGACCCATCGAAGAATCAACTGTTTAACCTCAAGAAATGTAATATATATTTTATCCACTAAGTTATAATTAAATTGAAAGAACTGTGTGAGTTCATAGCAATAATATAAGTTTTTCTTTTTTAGTTCAAAAACATGTGTGGGGTGTGGATGCAAACCTCATACCTATTTGGTGAAAAGTTGGTCAAGGTTATATATCTTAACTAGTTGAACTATATTCAAATTGACTAATATATAAGTTGTTTCTAAAGCACGATAGAGATATGAAGTTTGTATCTTATAGTTCTAATTAAAGATAGAGGTAGAACTTTGACAAAATAATAGAGTTCTAGTCATTGAAGTCGTGTGTTGAATGATGCATATGTGGTCCCGTAGAGCCTTATCTCTCTAATCCCAAGTTGATAAAGTCAAATGTAGGGGTGAGCGATAACCATGTTAACACCATTCTAGATTAAGCAAATTTATTCCGAGAAGTAGGAGATGTACTATACCCACATATCGTAATCGAAGTATCTCGAGCTAGATTTATTTCGACTATTCGAGTAAATGTTAATATAGAACACTTCTATTCTATATAGATACATACATATACGTATATAGAATGTTTTCTATAGATTGATGATATTTCAATTTGGAAATAGATGTTGAACTTGAGAGAGTGGGAGAAATTTGTTTTTAAAAAATGGCAGTCATGCCTATAAAGGTTGAGCCAAATTTCAATGGGTTTTGGAACTATGTGGGAAGACATTACTTCCACACTTCCACAACCATGTGACTCCAAACCTTCAACCTTTTGTTTTTCCCCTTTGTTTAAGAGGTTAATTTAGTCTAAATTAATATAGTAAGATTGGCATCACTTTGCAGTTTGCACTTTAGTGGGCAAAAAATGTTGAATGAATTNTTTTTTCCAAATGAAAACCTACTTAACTTAACTACTTTTTGAAGCACTTTCCAATCCAGTATTAGGGTCTAGAGTGATTTTAGAATGAGTGACTTTAGCAAAAGTGATTTTTATATAGTTATCTTAATATTTTCTTACACACGTTTTTTCAAGTGATTTTTATATAATTAAATGTGATCTGAAGGAATAATGTTTTAAATTTAAAGAGAAAATTTGACAAAAATTTGAAAGGGAGGGAAAAAAAGTTAGAGATCATGAACAAAAATCTCAAGGAAAAAGTTTAGAGAGTGAGAGGAAAAAACTTTAGAGAGAGAAATAAACTACAAAATAGATGGCGCTAAAAAATGAGAGGGAGAGTATAAAAATTCCAGAGAGAAGAAACAAAAATACTAAGAAAATATAAATTTTCTGAAAATTTAAAGTGAGAGTAAGGTAAAATAGAAACACACCCTTGAAATTTAAACCCTTTCAAAAATAGTTTGCTATTAATTTTCTTTTCTTTTTAATCAAAATTCACTGGAGAAATCATGGTCACTTAAAGTGATCTTAGATTTTTCCAAAATCAAACATGTGTATTTAATTGGAGTGATTTTGGCAGGGTGAAAGTGATTCCGAATATGTCAAAATGACTCTTAAACATGCCCTTTAGCCAAAAGAATCTACGAGTACTTTCTCACCATAAATAATTTACCTAAGTTTTTAATATATTTTTTTTCAGAGCATATTTATATTACTTGCAAACACGGATACCAAACAAAAATAGTCTTGTTTGATTTAGTATTTCACAAGATTTTCCCCTAAAAATTATCAAACATCCTCG